TGTGGAAATCTAACATCTGGGTAAAGCCAGGGTTCGGTTCCATATGCTTAAAGACCTCATTGACTGACCTTTTGTATTGATGACCTTGTATGGTGTTATTGGTCCAATTTATATCTGGCAAGTTGAAGTCTCCAGTGATCCAGATTGCAGGTTTTTGTACATTTCTTATACTTATGATATGGTATCGAAGAGATTGTAGGCATAAAACTCATCATTATGAGTTGATCTATATGCTGAATATATAATAAGTGATTCATTGTTAGCATATTTTATCTTGACAAAGACAATGTCACATGGGGTGTCTGTTTCAATCCGTTGAGGTTTGATGGTATTTTTAATCAGAATTATGCTTCCTTCATACCCATCAAGTCAGTTTTTACGGTGGATGTTAAAGTTGCTATTTGGGGGAAGAAATTCAGCATCATGGATTTCAGACTTGAGTCATGTTTGGCATCCGCAACGGACACTGCATTTAAAGTAATCAAGAAGTTTCCAGAAGCTGGTCTAAGAACTGGTTATGCTCTGTATGTTCAGACTGGCTAGACGGATGTTGCGGTGCAAAGCTTTTGCTTAATTCTGGCTTTAGGACATCTGGCAAGATGGAATCACTTTTTGATCTTGATGTTGAACCACTAATACATGATAGATCATATATGTTACGCGAGGATATGCACTCTGAGTGCTTGATATCACTACTGTTTAACAAATTTAAACTGGCGAGATAGTCTGATGGTATAGTATCTAGAGATATTTATTCAAATAGACTTGAGAGAAAACATGCTCAGCATTCGAGAAGCATATGAATGACAGACTGTCTGATTAGGTTTACGGAAGAAATACCTCGTCATTTAATCTGATGCAGCTGGTATGTCTCTCAGTCGTCAGATCGTATGGAGTTTTGGTTACAGTCACATTTGTCCTTGCAGACACCGAATGTGAAGTCGCCGATGTGTCTTGAAGATGAAGGTTGCCCTGGATTGACCAGTGTATTAAATGATCTTAATATAAAAATAATTATTCTAACACTCACGTGATTTTGCCACTATAGACAAAGAAGGAAAAAACTGGTGTTAAACTGCCAATAAACACCGGTTAGGGACTACTTGTATATGTGCTGTTATGTTTTCACCCTCGATTGTATAGTTTTCAAAGCAGTTTAAAGCAACAATAAAATGCATTTTTATTTATATTTTCAGTTCGTATAATGTTTTCTTTTCATACAATACCGAAATAATATCTCACATACACTAACGCCACATATTAGATCCATATCAGTTAATAAATATTTTGACAAAACGGCGCCAATCCGTAAGCAGCGTAATGACGTCATCCTAAGTAAACAACTCATTCATAAACAAGCTGACGTTATTTCATACAAACAAGAATGATAAATGGGGCACTGATGTAAACACAATACGACGTAAATTTTTATTGTTGAAAACTTGATAAAATAACGTATTTTTTTTCTTATTATTTCTTTTGTTTAATAATTTTTATATCTTCGCAACAGTAGGGTGCGAAAATCGAACAGCATTATACGAAAATCGGCACCGGAAGTTATTTCCGCTTGAAAAATAACATTAGTGATTTTCCTTATTTTGTCGTGTTAGAATCGAAATCACATCGGCCTGAGAGGTGTATATCGGCTATTTAACACCGGTTTTGTCGTTTTAATGCGACAAAATTAACCACTCAGGCCTACGGCCTTCCTGGTCAATTCCTGTGCATCAAAACTCCAAACCGGTGTTAAATAGCCGATATACACCTCTCAGGCCGATGTTATTTCTTAAATAAATAAGTTTCTCAAAAATCCTTATCGCAAATATAATCGTCCTTTATATCCCATAATGCAGAATTGTTAACATAATGCCTGGCCAGGATTGTGCAAAGAATCAGACAGAATTGTGGAAATAAATGCCGAAAACTAGTATTATATGAAGCTATATAGTTCGGCAAATGTGTTAGGTATACTTAAAAACAAACTATAAAGAAAGTCTAAGAGTGCGTTATTGTACTCATTACTATCGGTGAAACACAAACTTCTACTCAAGAACGGTAGCCACTACCAGGTCGTTTTTTTCACAAATAATTTCGAAATTAACAACTAGCATGGAAATATATGTTGTGAGAGATAGAGTGCCCTAACAGCCGTATGCGCTAATTTATTTCTTCTAATTTGATGAACACGCACTTTAAAATACATATCTGTCCTTTTTCCTATTGGAAGTGGCCATTCCCTTTCCCACCCTCCGCCCATGAATTTTCACAAATCAACGTTATTTTTGCACTATTCCTGCATTATTTCAACAATCCTGCGTTACGGGATATACGATTACGGTGATTATTATATATATTAATGTTAAATCTTAAATGTACGAGTATCTCGACTTATTGTGTATAGAGAACAATAAAACAATTGTAACAGATCAGTATATATTTGCGACCTGTTCAGCTGTCGGTAAGTGATTTAAAAGAACAAAGGAGCCGTTAGATCCGGTAGGTAATTTGTTACAAAATCAAAGCTAACTTATATTTTTACATGTCTCACTGCACTTGATGCAAAAGAACGGATTGTATGACGGTAATTCGGTGTAACCTACGCTAAAATCTAGACATGTCAACAAAAAGTATATTATTTTTTTTTTGGATTTGTTAAGTAAGTTTATTTCATTTTATCATTTTCAAGTTCACATACATTAAGTAATTTTTGATTTACTAGTAAAATGCACATTATTTACCAGCTGACTATTATGTTTTAGAAACCGAAAGTATATATATATAGGTGGTTCAGCATTGTTAACCATGTTTGTTTTCACTTAGTGGGCCCAAAGTGAGTGTAGGCGCACATTCAAATAACAACAAAGCTCACACTGTAAAATGATGAACAATTTGCAATAACACTTCCAGGTCTATGTTTTAAGGACTATTATAAAAAAGATAACAGTAAGCATATTTACCTTGGATGTGCTAAATTTCTGAAGATAAAGTAAAATCGTTTGCATAGTTTTATGCACATTTCATGAAAAGCAAAAACCAGTTAAAATTCTGTTTTAGGGCAGAGGAATGCTATTTGTTTGCAACAAAAACAAAAAAACTTGCAAAACCTAATTTCAAATTAAGCAGTATTTTATGTCCTTCTAAGCACAATCATGTCCCCCATTATTATTTGTAAAAAGTAGTGCAAGAAGGCAATCGCCATTTATAGCCTTATGAACTACAATTGAAATGAAAACAGCATTCAAATTTTAAAATTTAATCTTTCTTTTGTGTAACAGTGAAGTGTGTCTGTCTGTCATATATACAAGATATAGATGAAAGATGTTTATTTATCTGACACTACCTTTTTACACACAGCATGGACGTCATGTTCTTATCAAGGTCAGATAAACTACATTCATAATATTTAAGTTTTTGCAAGTGTTTTTGTGTTCGTTGATAAAAATAGCTCACTGAATTTGAAGAGTTCTCGATATCATTAAAAATGAACTAGAATGCACGATTCTTTAGTCTTTGTGTAACTGTTCCTAGAAATACCGCCAAACATAGCCAAATCCGTTTTGATAAAGTAAGTGTTTTTGGTATGTTCTTCTATCTGATAGTGAGAGGCAATTAATTTCTTTATATAAATTTGAAGAGAAACTGAACGGTTTAGACCGCTTTAAATTCTGGCTCATACTGTAGTATATAGCGTGTTTGCACCACGTGATTTTCCGATTTAATTTATTATTGGATCCTACCTTATCAAATTATCTTTGTTACCAAAATGTTCATACCAAATGCAAAGTCTAAAAATCAAAATATCAAAAAACATATCATACACCATATAGCCTGGTTTTCATTTTTGAAAGACACAAATGTCAACTTGAGACGTTGTTTGAAGCACAAGAAGCAGGTCTCTGCGTCAAAGATGAAATTCACCCTGCGGGATCAAGCTGGCTTAGCGTTCAAACGATGATTCAGATATAATATCGGTTGAAAAAAAATCTTGCCTGGGTATTCAAACAGATTAAAATATTTCTTCTATTCAATGATTATAAACTAAAAGATCAGTTTACATTTGTAATTTATTTGCTTGAACGATTTGGCATTTGTGACCCACCCTGGCACAAGTGTTAGAATGAACTAAATGGGCCGATTAACGTCATTTGTTCGTATAACGCCGTATCATACGCAGGATGGCATTCTTTTGAACAACATCTCCGATACCGGACCAATATAATGAAAAAAAAATCTATCAATCTCGTGTACGATAACAAGTTAAAAGGTCTTGTAAATTTCAAATATTATACCATCTAGTGATTTGCTACAGAAATTATTCAAATTATGTACCTGGAGTGAAATGGTCCAACACATGGTCACAACCTTTTAATTAACTACAAATTTTGTCCTCGTGGTCAAGTTTAGCAGCGTCAGAGGGGCGGGGTCATATAGTTCATATGTAGTGACTACATATCTATATCTCCTTTATTAATATTGCTTTGTACAGAACTTAAAATTTGGCACGGAGAATAACTTGTAGATTTCTAGAGAAGTATATCAGTTCTGTTCTCAAAAATGATCCAGCTCTGGTTCACCTAAGTTTTATCAAAAGTGTAACGCATTTTTTTAATACTTGCTGTTTACTTTAATCTCAATTCAAACCTCGACATTGTAACTATCTTTCAATTTCAATGCGTTTATATTTTTATTAAATACTTGGATCAAAATTTATCAATGGAAATCCCAATTTGTGCGTTTTACTGTAACTGAGACATTAGATATTTGGCATGAAGTTACTCCAACTTCACATTTGCAAAAAGTATACAAATCATGTTCTTGTGGCCCTGGGATTCACATTCGATGATAACAGAGAGATCATTTTTTAAAAGTTTTACTTCTGTCTTCAATTTTGAAACATTTATCCAAATTTGTTTGTGAATTGTAACTATGTTCTCAGATTTGAATATTGGTAACCTTGCATTACTTTTTTCATTAAACACTTTCTTATAAATATTTCAGGTGAACGATCTCATGTTATTTTATGGTTTAGCCTCTATCATAAACGCACCAGATGTCTAGTTATAAGGAACTCCGTAACCCCTTTTTCCGAAATTGGGTAAATGCTAGTTATGCTTTGAGGTATCTCCAATACGGATTGAGAGAATTTATTGACGATACTGCAAAAAAGCACCACAACAGCCTTTTAGACAAGTTATCAAAAGGGCAAGTAGTAGCGAACACGGGTTGTAACATTTGCTCGTCTACCAACCTCCTTCCTGAACATCCCAAACGTGGTTGCATTCAACGCTATCCGAAAAAATGCTTGTGTAAAGACTCGCATGGCAGGCGAAAGTGTCCAAACCAATCTTGTAGTCTGTTGTATGACCTAATCATTCTTGATCACGAAGAAAGAAATCCTATTTGGGAGAACTCCGATCTCCAAAGTTGGTGCAGTGACTACTTCGAAGTTGCGAAATTATATTTAGGAATGCAGGGACATATTGATGTACATAATTGTTGTGAAATAGATGCACCCGGCCTTCTAACTATAGCCATAAACAACATCTTCTTTAATGACTACATTGAAGATATTGCCAAGTTTAAAAAGGTTAATACTGATATTGATATTAATTTTTACTTTAAATCTTTTACTTTCTGGATAAACACTGTATATGCATGTTCAATGTATGTTTAAGAGTGTTTTACCATGTCAGTGGGGTGATAGATAATAAATATGTAAACACATTTAACTGCTATAAGTCAAAATATGCATGAGCCACTTCCGGTTGTCTTAGACTTAGACTGCCGTTAGGCCAGAAACAGTTAAGGTAACATTTTGTTTAGTAGTGCACAGACGTGCGTTGTCGAGATTGCCTAGTTTCTCTACTTAATTGAAGACGTTTTCTTCAAACAATATCACTTCTTAGAAACAATAAAGAATTTTTTATAACATTTAACATGTTCAATTTTGTACCATTTTACTAGGCACGCGACGTAAGAAATGAGCTGTTACATTCTAGCAGATTAGAAATATCAAAAGAGAAACTGGATGAATACCTTGACGCCATGATTGATGTACTTACAGATGATCGTTCACTCGTAATGTATGAAGCCGCAAAGAAAGCTGTAGAAAATATTGAAAAGGTTATACGATTTTTGGTGTTATTGTTTGTTCTTGCATAAAAGAAACACAGCTCAAATAGCATAATAAAAAATAACAAAAGGTTTGTGGGTAAATGTTAAAATATCATTTCGAGAACGCCTCGGATAATTAAGTATCTTACGAGAGATAATAATTTTACTAATACTCACAAACCTGTGTTATTACTATTTGTATATTTTTACCCCAACAAATACTGTAATGATGTATTGATACGAAAATGGTGCACTATTAATGTAAGCAAGGGCAGGTTGCTATGCACAAATAAAAAAAAGAAAAAACGGAATCGGTAAAGAACGTCGTCAAAACGGTAAAATTGAAAGTATTGCGGCAGCCTACTCATTTACGAGTGTGTTAAAATTTGCAAGTTACCATTCGCATATAGAAGGACATTTCTGATTTCATGAACAAGCTTAATTAAATCGGACCTGCAATATTTTCAATTTTGCCGTGTTAGGTTACCTTACAGGAATTAACACATTTTATACTGATATAAACGAGTACATGTATATCTCTTTAATGTCACAAACATCGTAATCATTTGAAAGCTAAATATGCGTTTTTCAAAAAACAAAGCAACTAACATGTATCTACAGAGGAACAGTATAAGAGTGTTTTAGTTCCGTTGCAGGTCAGAAGTAATCAAATAAGTATAACTGAGGTAGATGCAGAAGAAATGATACATTCAGCAGTAAAAGCAATAGAAGAAAAGCGGCAAGAGGCAACTCAAGAATTAACAAAAGAATGTAACTCACTCGAATGGAAGATGCAATCAAACATTGCGCTTAAAACTGAATCTTCATGTAAACATCTTCAAAGAAAAACCGACGAGTTGGGAAAGAAATTAGTTAAAGACATGGAAGAACAAACGAAGCATTCAAAACATAGGCATGCCATGATGCTGTCTGAAGTTGAAGAAAAAATGACTGATTTTGTAAATAAACAACAACATCTGCAACAAAATGGTGAATTTGGCAATCAAAAGGTAATGATTTTGTTTTTTTTATTATTATTTTCTTAACCATGGGTATAGAGGCATGGGGTAATGACCATACTAGAAAAGCAATACATCTTTTTCAGGAGTGACTTTGGCCGAGTGTTTAGGTAGTCGACTTCAAATCACTTACCCCGCTCCGCTGTGGTTACGAATCCCACCCCGGAGTTTGGATCTTTTCGTGTAAGGAAGCTATCAAGCATCTAGTTAAGTGAACGCCGGTGGTTCTCCTCAGGTGCTTGTTCGAGACTGAAATACAGGTAATACACGGAGGGGCATCCGAGGCCACCTACACCAGACCGGACTGTCGCCTAATGATATACAGTATTGATGCGACTTAAAATCCAACCATAAAAGGATCATTTTATGGATATCATGATAGCATGTATAAAGTACACATAGCCATAACTTCTAAACCTTAAAATTACATTATATCTATCATCTTTCAATTAAGAAATGGTGTTCCTGTTGCTAATGACTAACTAGGGGGCGTGGACGTTAACATACACTTTCCAATACCGTCCAGGAACAGGCTAAATCAAACAGAGCCTGCAACATGCCTTGTCGGGCATTCCTTAGGGTTTCTGTTTTTCACTATTTTACTAGTTAGGTTATTGGTATATTTGCGTAAGAAAAGGCGTCTACTTATTAAATAGAAGCAATAATTATTATTGTTTGCTGTTGTGTTTTTTGTAAGAATTCATATTCGATATTTTTGATTTATGAAAGATCTTAATAGCATACAAAGCCAAAAATGTTTAAAAATTATTTTCAGATTAAAGCTTGTGATTCAACTGGACAAACGGAAGCTACTTTGACAGGTAGTGGAATGATTATAATTTTAACAATAAGAAGATAAAGTTAAACATTTTGTTAGTTAAGCATCAAAATTTTATACCCGATGTTTTATAAACACTTCGATACTCCTTTTTGAAGTAAATAAATCCGTTTACATCCGAAAAATGAATGAACTTTCGATTTTTTTTACATTGAAGTGATAGAATAGCTGTGTCTTGTTTATTTTTTTATTTTTATTTTCTGCTCATGAATTGATTTCACTTTTCACCAAGAGCACTCAAATTAACCCATCATTGCTTTTTTTCCTAACCTTTTACCCCATGAGCAATTTGTGAAAAATGGCCGTTTTCATTGAAAAACCTCCTGTTACAAATTAAGTTCAAACTGCTATGAAACTATGAGAAATGCTTCAATACTGTTGAAACTTGGCACAAATGTTGACTGGACCATAGCCTCTGTAACAGTATGCTCAATTGTATATTTTTTGTTACCATGGCAACGGGGGGGACGTCTCAAAATTGCGAAAAATTACTATTTTGCATTGTTTTTCCATCAAAACTGATTTCAAAGTGCTGCAATTTCTTAATGAATTAAGATAGAGTTAAAATATTTTCAGCGTCGGTTACTAGTTATCCTAAGATCGACCTGATGCCATTTTTAGCCTGTCACATGTCCAATATTTTCTTGGCGATGAGTGGGGCCTACCCCCTGATGTACCATTTTCATGGGGACCGCGCCGAAAAAGTGGTCACTTTTTTAAACAACATTTCTTAAATGAAAGACAGTGTTTGGGGCCTAAATAGGGCATTTTTTCACTGTTTGAGGCCTCAAAAGGGGGGGGGGGAGCCTTCAAAACACGTCTATATAAGAGAAAAGGTTAAACGAACTCAACGAGTAAAAACTGCTACTATAGTCTATTTCATTTTGATTTACAGAGGTCCAGCAACATCTTATCAATTACTATCGGTCTTACTACCTTACAACAGACGTATCCCCTCTTCTTCCCGACGAGAATGTTCATGTAGATGACGTATACGTCCCGTTAATATTCAGAGTTACTAGAAAAGGAAGGACCAAAACTGAAAATGTTATCCTAGCTTCATTAACTGATGTATTCACGGAAAATGACGAGCGGCTTGATAATATCTATCTAAGTGGCGAGGCTGGCATTGGAAAAACAACGCTTTGCAGAAAGTTAATATCATATTGGTGCGCTGCTCACAGTTTAAACAATCAGATGACCAACATTTCTCAAGATGATGAAAAGGCTGTAGAAAAAATGAAAAACTTTGAATTTCTTCTGTTCATTTCACTTCCGGATTTAAACAAAGAAACATCTATTGAAGAGATGGTAGAAAACCAGCTTTTGTCAGGATTTCAGCACAGTCAGTTAATAAGAAGAACTCTTCAAAGCAAACCAAAGACTTGCTTATTTGTACTCGATGGGCTTGACGAATGGGAGCCAAAAGGTCTTAGCACGCATCCGGCTATTCCAGAAGGTTTACCAATTTATAAGAACTGTTACACGAAGCTATTTACATCAAAGCCATGGAAAATTGAAAGCATACGCCCAAAACTTACTGAAAATGACTTAGAACTTGAAATCGAAGGAATAAGCATAATTAACTCAAAACGTCTTGTGAATGCCTTGCTGATATATTTTGAAGTCCGGAACACTGCTGAAGAATCTGAAAAGTTTTTAGCTGAAGTTCAGGAAAAGAAGATACAACATCTTCTGCCAATACCATTGATGCTTAAACTTCTTCTATGCCTTTGGTTAGAAAACAAATCACTTGAAACATCGACAACCAGTATTTACTGCGCAATTCTTGATCTTTTACTTTCTACAGCAATGAAGAAAAATCGCTATGATGAAGGATTTCAGGAATTGCTTGATAATCTACAGGAACAGCAATTACCAGCTGTTTTTCGAAACAAATCTTCTTGTAAGAAATTCTCATCTGTCATAATCAGCTTAGCCAAGCTTGCGTTTCAAACATTATTTGCAGCGGATAGGGGAAAATCTTTAGTATTCAAAGACTCGGATCTTTCGTCATATGGATTATCACAAAATAATATCCGGCTTTGTTTGACACTCGGCTTACTGTCTCAGAAGAAAATTCTCGGAATTTCAAATATACTAACAGTAAAACAGGTTTCATTTCTGCACAAGTCTCTACAAGAATTGTTTGCCGCTATTTATATCTCAATGCAGTTTTCAGCTGAAACAGAGACTCATATATATCGTGCTTGTTCAACAGTTGAGAACGTGTTTGAATTTTCAAACGTGTTTCTTTTTTTGAGCGGGATTAAGCCAATGATCATGTACCATATATCTGGGCATATTTGTAATTTAGCTGATAGTGACACAGTTATTGGCCAGTTTCGTGACAGAAAAACAACTGGACATATAGTAGGGTTATTAAAAGCATGTCGACTTCAAGCAACTATATCTTCTTGTTTGCAAGAAAGTAAAAACAGTAATTATGATGACGCAAAAATACGATTAAGGGATATTGTGTTTGATGGAGCTTTTCCGTTTGTGTTCAAGAATAAGAATGCAGCTTCCGTATCAATTTTTGACACAATTTTTAACATTACACCTTGTAGCATTACGACTCTTGCTTTAAGGAATCGTGTTTTGCCAGGACCGGTCTGGCAATATCTGAAAAGTTTAGATTCACTTCATACAGTAATATGTGATATGAACAGTGTCCCACGAGATTGTTTAGTTACCATTGTCAATAAATCAAGGTACACGATAAAACATATACACTTAGATGGGTACAATCACGATTCTGGATATAGAAAAGTATGTTTTCTTCAAAGGGATCATATATCCGAGCATGGAATAACAAGTGATCTGATTGGCGAGCTCTTAAAAAAAGTAGTGTGTATACAAATTAAAGACTTTATGCAAACTGTTCTCTGGAACGATATACTCGAAAACGCCGATACAAGTAATTGATAGTAAAAGGAAAAGAACAAAAAACAACAAAAAACCATCTTTTCATTTGAACCTGTGATCTATAAGATAAGGTAAAATATCAACATATGTTTTTATGTGTTTCAGTGTCTTTGCTTGCTTTAACGATTGCTGAGTTTGAAAGTGATTTAAAGCCCCATTTTCTAAAACTCCATTGGGATATATGTTACATTGGTTAGTTTCATTTACAGTGAAATAAAGTTTGGTTCCCAAAATTTGACTTGGAAACTAAGACATTTGCATCTGAACATTGACCTACAAATAACAGAGTGACAATCAGTTTATAAATAGCTTTAAATAGCTTTTATAGTAAAATCTAAAACTGTTATAACTTTATTTATTTGACATTTAGCAAAAATGCATGAAAAGTATGATCCCGTTGTTAAAGTTCTCGGAGCAGTGCAGGAATATTTTTTTCGACAGTTAATATTAACAATCGGAAGTGCAGACAGAACAGAACAGAATAGATAGAGCTACTAATAGAAAAATGAGATTTGGTAAATTCGATGTTAAAAAAAATATTTTAAAAAATGTGCAATTGTTAATTTTTTTTTTTTTAAATGTTTTTTTTCTAATTTCAATTATCGTGCTGTTCAAATGAATATTTCCTAAATGCCTTGAGCGAAAATTACTATTTTCTTACCGTACACTACATTGTATTTATAAACATCTCACTTTGATTATGTTCTTTATTTTGCAAACCTTTTGTATATTATTAAAATGTGCATGCCCAAATGTTTTGTTATAAGATATGTTAAATGAAGAGAATGTTAAAAAAAATGTATAGACCAAGCAATGGTATTCAGTTTTGCTATTAAAAGAAAGAATTTTTTAAGAACGTTAACCTAAATTGACATTGTAGTGTTGGCTATATCTCTATCTTTCTTTTTTGTTCAAATGTATGTGTATTCTGTTTCTTGTATAAAAGCTGGTGGTCTAAATACACATTTATTAAATTAACTTTTGAAATTAGATAATCTTTGTATTTTATAGTGTTGAAATAAATAGATAATTTGAAATTACATGTATTCATATTTTTTTACAATTTATCCAACTTTAGTTTATATAACATAGTTTTAAAGAAAAACAGAGATTAAAACTGTATGTTCAAGATCTTGCCCCAGTTGATTTGATAAAAAAGAAAAGAAAGAAAGAACATTTTCATTGACCTGTCTTTAATAAGGAAGAAAACTTACTAGAATTGTGAGACTATATGAATCTTACACCGGCTGCCGAGTTTCCGCTAAACAGTTACCCGAGAGTTAGATATTCCCGTCTGCACCGACAGCCGGTGTTCATACTTTTTCTTGCATATTATATACATATCAATTATTTTCAGAACAAAAATTGCGAAAACTGATATTCTCATTACGCACCTTTTTCTTATAGAAGAACAACTTACAACTTCAATCGTAACGGTTAAGTGACGTACGTTATCCTAATAACGCGATTCATTCATCAAAGGCGCGCGGCAATGACGTCATTTAAAGCACGCGACTTGTCTTATACGGGGGTGTTAGACTAATAATATCTGTCACATTTTGCGGTTCGGATCGGAATATCCGTCCCGAGGTGACCCGCCCATTGGGCGGTAACGAGGCTTGCCGAGTTACCGCCCATGGGCGGGTGACCGAGGGACGGATATTCCGATCCGAACCGCAAACATATGTCAGATATTTTTTCTTGCATATTCTACCATATTCCATTATATTTTAAATTCTTTATCTTTATTTTCAATAAAAATTTATATCATTACAACCGTAACTACTTTCATTCAACAGCATATGAATTACAAAATCATTCATAACGGTAAAATGACGTCATCTTTATCGTGCCATTGTACAGCACGCGACTCATCTGGAACCCCCCATGCCAGATGAAATTTCCGGCATGGGTAAAACTTACGGAAACGCCAGTCTGATATGCAAGAAAGGGTTTTCTAGCACCGGTGTTAAGGGTAGATAATCCTGTCTGATATGCAAGAAATGCTGCACCTTTCATTATGTCTCATGAACTGACCCACTTAAATTGAGTCTACTTTTTTCAACTTCTACTATTGGTTTCAATGCCCCCGCTGAATCTTGCTTTCCCCGTGTAATTTACTTTATTAAATACATCAGTTAGGTCGTTTTAACTCCAAGTGAATTTCTAACAATTGTCACGGTTACAGACGGCGAAATAACTTAGACATAGACTCTTAATCCATTCTTCAGTCTTTCAAATAGAACGGTCTGGAGTCTGACCACTTTTACGTAAAAAAGATGTCTATTTGAAAGACCCTGATAGAAATTATCATGCAAATTGAGATATAAATATGCAAACTTATGACCATAACAAAAGTACATGTACTCAATATTTTAAAGCAACAAGGAAACCACATACAACGGCCCGAGGAAGCAATAGAGGAGACGGTTTTGAATACAATTATTGTCCAATAGCTTTAAAAAACTGTCCATCATGTGCAGTCTTCCATTTGGTCCGACAGATGCAGTTAAAAGAGAAATGCGGAGTGTCCAACTGCAAAATAGTTAAACATTAAGCATGCAGTATGTCCCAACCTCTATTAGGTAAACCTTTGATCTAACTTTAGAAAATACATGTACAGCAAATAAATGTCCATAACATAAGTCTTTCAACGTTTATAATCCTTATCTCTATAGAAAACTGATTTGCTAATGCTTTGTCATCAATTCTAAATTACGATGGTAGAATAAATGAAAGCATTATCTTAATTTATGTTAACTTTATGATAGCTTTTTGAAGAAGTTTGCAAATAATAAAACGATTGCATTTATAAAAAGCATTTACGTGGGTGCATGCCATAGCAAATTAAAAAAAAATCCATAAAGACGACTGCTAAATGGTAAAACAAAAATGTTGCAGGCGTGTTTGATTGAGCCGGTGCATGGTGTGTGTGCGTTCATATCCTTAAAAGTAATTATATGCCAAAATGTGAGATATAAATTTGAATTCAGTAATTCACTGAATGAAACTAAACATGTTTGAAAGTCGATTTTTGTGATGTTTACTATTTTGATGCACGGGAGGCCAATGAAACCATTATATACATCATGGATATAAATCAGGTGTTGCGTCCAAAATAAATGTTCATATCTTTCGGACGAGTTTGACTGACCAGGTACGTATATTTATATATATACCTGGACTGACTGATAAGGTTATGCGGATTGGTACCTGACACATGCATTCCCTTATGCTTGGCCAACATGCAAGAGCATTATTTCCAGTTTTCACATACATGGAAGAAAACAACAAACAACAAAAAAAATCGATGGCCAGGGTAACTCACTTAGCTAGTAACCACAAGAATGCACATTGTGTATTTTCAAAAGATATGAAAACAACAACAACTACTACTACATTCAGGACACGCAGCCTACATTAGTACTTAATATTAGTAAAAAAAAATCATATATCAACTCCTATATAGATATTATTATAGACGTTGAAATATGTTTATTTTCAAAACGACTTATATATATATATATATATATATATATATATATATATATATATATATATATATATATATATATATATATATATATATATATATATATATATATATATATATATATATATATATATATATATATATATATATTAAAACGTGATAAATGTTCCTTGTGCAGTGTTGAAATAGATAAAATTATAATGTTTAAGAAATAACAAACTCTATGTAAATTCGGTAGCGCTTTCAATGCTTTCTTCGCATATATATATAATGCCAATCTATAAAATGCGAGAACCAGACACATTCAAAAGAAGAATGAAAGAAACTGTTTTAATAAACGTTCTTAAACCAGAATTGAATTCAAAATAACTTTGATACATATATAACAATAATATTATAGCTTATTATTATGTCCCTTTAAAACGTTATAAGAGTAACGTCCCTTTACACAGTTTTGACGCCGTTACCAAGCGACGTTATTAACATCATTATCTTGAAGATCCCTTTAACGGGTGAAACCGGTTGATATTTCTCTTCAATTATTTATTACAGTTTTGTTAAAAAACAATTGCAATGTAAACTGGAAAAGGCATCACTTCATTCTTTTTTCCCGCTATTTTTTCCGTATTGTTCTAAACTTTACATTTTGGATATATATATATATATATATATATATATATATATATATATATATATATATATATATATATATATATATATATATATATATATATATATATATATATATATATATATATATACAGTCACATTCCTCCATTTACGGGGCATCGGTCTATTTGAGACCATACTTGTGGGGTTTATATTTAATGTGGGGCATACATAAGGCCTCGCAAATCTGGCATGTTTAAAACGATGTATGGGGGCGTAGGCTACCCTTCTAACATAGTGCCCGTAGGCCGGTTTTAGTAGTAAATGATATATGTCCCACAAATGTATATATTTTTAATGGGGTTTAATGTTATTGGTCAATATGTTTTCACCTATGGTAAAATCAAATATATAGATATATAGTTTATATATACATGTATAACTTAGTACCCCTTAGTTCTGTTGTATGGAAATGTTTATTATAGGCCTATATAGTGGCGTATATAAAAACTGACTGCATGCAATAATGCCACTCAACTCGGTCTTATATATGGGCCCCGTAAGTGAAGATATGTGTGAATATATATATATATATATATATATATATATATATATTTATATATATGATCAGTGCATGCGCTGGGATTGACAATTATACATTTTAACATTTTATTTGGATTTTAAATGCGTTTTGAGCTCAACACTCCAAGTGTCTGTCGGTTCAAACCCCTTCAAGGGCAAGTCGTTGTTTCCTTGAAGAAGAAACTTGACACTCATTGCTCAGTACTGGTTGGTTCAAGGAACGGATTCGAAAGTATGTATATAATTATATTATAGTATATAAGCTTCTATAGCTTCCTACACAATCGAACTAAAATAAATTTTGTATAAATCACTTTCCTTTTTTATTCGATTATTTTTTTTGTTCAAAGGAATATGATTCTGTAAGTAACAATGTTCTTTTAATCAATAGCTCCGTAGACAACAATGTGGAATTTAAAGTAAATAACGATATTATTGTTCTATATAGACTTAAATGTCCATTTCATACTGTAATTGTATGATAATAGTGTGTTTAATACTTTTATTAATTTGTTTGTATTCCAGTTTTATTTGTAAAGTTGAAAGGTGATAATGTAATGAGATTTCGCGACATAGTCTGATTTGTTTACTTTAAATCCACAGACACTTGTGAGGGACTTGAGGGGTCAGAACCTTTTCACTCGGCTTACCCGCCCTTGTAAAATGTCAGTCAAAGACTTTGAACATAATAATATGAAAAAGGCAAAGCCTCAAAGCGAGCTCGATGTACTTTTAACGTAAAATAGTATGAAATAATCGCTCATTTTTATTCGAGTGCGTGTGACGTCACACGTACTGTGTTAAATATGGCTCCGCCCCTGTCGTTAAATGATTAGCGAGTTTTGAAAACGTTGATAAAACTTTGTTTGTTTATTTTATTTCACTCTATAATTTTTCAAGCGAAATAAAGATTATTAAAAATGAAATAAATGTAAAACTTAAAACGTTTACGACACTTGACATTTGGAACTGCCTCGGCTATTATCTATATGATAACCTTATCCGAAGACTGACGGAAAGGGCCGAGTAGTTGCGATTGCGTAGTTGATTTGATTGTTTTGCACGTGCTGTTTGGCGCTACATTGTGACGTCACGTAAACAATACTTTAAACGTCTGTACTACGTTAACGACTGAATAAAAGATATTGGTGTTCGGATTCATTTTCTTAGTTAGACCGTTTTCTCTCATTCTAGATAGTTTTCACAACAAAATTCGACAAAAAATTGTTTTTATTCAGGGCTGCAGATAACATGCGTATTTGCGTTATTACCCAATTAAAATGTCTAAAAACCCAATAGAAATAATAACTAAGGGTAAGAAAAAGTAAATGAATTCTTATTTATACAAACTACATT